CCCCCCCCCCCCCCGGGTGTTTTGGGTTCGACCCGGGAAATAATAATAGCGGAATGCACGCAAAATTATCATCGCTGGGTGTTGTTGACCACGGCAACTTAAAATCGATTTAGTGACCTCCTTAGTCCGCGTTTACGTGAACAACGGTTAAAACCGGTTTAATAGTTTCCGCTGATGCGACTATCAATGTTATATGTTGCATAAATAATTATGTCATAACTATATTGCATGACATGTAACACTATCATTTGCAGGGGCTTATCACGGTTTTACGCTGATCGTGCAAACACAGATTACGGGTATTACGTAGATTACTAATCAGAGGTGTGTTCCGTTAGATGTGTCGAGAATGTCTTTCTTTGTTAAAGTTAGTAGCGCTGTAACCATGGTCTGTTCTTTATAGTTGCGCCAGTTCAGCAGTGCTGCTACAAAGAACAGACCACAACTTTGTTATGCTCCGATGGGCCAGCTGATTCATATTTATTTCATCCGTAGAGAGGTATTCTTACTTTTTACGAGAAATTTCTCGAAATCCTTTATCATCATACTCGTAAATTACACTTTCAATAAAATTGTTAACTCTTACTTTTTTTCCCCTTCTGATATCATTTCCGTTGTTACTCTTACGAATAACATTTATTATTTCATCACTTTCGCTTGAACTTGAAAACAATTTGTCAGATATAAGCAAATGCAATTTTCATAAATGCACGACTGTAATAAATTCATGATTGTAAGTAACGATTGGTAAATGCTCGTAAGATAAACGGTGAATCTTATCAGCTGATCCGTTACGGGAACCCAGCAAAGTTGATTACAGCTCTGTCAACTTTGTAACTAAAAAGGATATTCCCGACACGTCTAACGGGGAATGTAGCCTAGATTTTATGTTGCTGTGTAAACATGACCATAAACATTGTAGTAACACTTACTAGAAAAATACTTTTGATTGTAGTTTTTTTCTTTGTGAGATCACAGTCACACAAACACCGAACATTTTTTCTCCATGTATCCGCTCCACGTGGATTAACACGTTACCTCTCCCCGCTCATTTTCCTTCTCGCTATTCTCTCGGCGTGTTTAACAAACGAGAAACCCCGGGAGATGACACCGGGTTCTGATTTTCTGCTCTCGCTTACGTTCTGCCGAGGTCACCGGGACTTTCTTCGCGTACCTTATCGTCGCGTATCGAACCGCCGCGTTTTTTTTTCTTCCCCACGACACCCGATAAACGGGTCCCTCGGAAGATACACAAACACAGCGAGTTTCGATATTCCTCCGTCGTTCTTCAAATTCCGGAATCGACGTCAGCCGTGTGCGCATTATGCGCGGGGTTTTTCTTGATGCGTCAACCGGAGATCGAGGCGATCGCCGGGGAAATAACGCGAAATCGATATCAGCCGTGTAAGACTCTCTTTCATAGGTCGTACACCGACCTGGAAAATATGTTTCACACGATCCGGAGATATCACAGACTGCGGGAATTGGTCGCGACTCGTGCATACATCTGCAGGTAATATTACCGTCGAGTTTTTCGTGGTCACCAATGCAGTTCGGTTTCACGACCGACCTAAAACCGCCATCGAGGCGCGTCATTTGCGGGTGATAACGACGATGACGACGATGATGATGACTCAACCTGCGTAGATAGGAAACGCGCGCGTGTCGGATTAAGCTAATTAAAACGCGCTATCCCGGAGGGAGGATTTGAATCTGAATACCCGACCACGAGCTTCCGCCGCATAAGACAGAGTCGTAATCGCGTGAGGTCTCGCCTAATTGAATATCAGGACTCTGAGATCATTCCCGTCGGGCATCGGCGAGAGCCCCTACTTTGGACAGTTCCAAGCACCAACGTTCGCTTGAAATCTCCCGATGACTCGTGTGTGTATGCGTGTGTGTGTGAGTGGAAGACGCGAATGAAAAATGCGATTCTTACGTGAAACGCAATTTTGTCTATCTGCTTCGCAGCTCTGGGAGCAGCAGAAGCAGCTGGAGGAGCAGAGGCGAGAGAAAGAGCGGTTGGAGGCCCTCAGGAAGAAGGACAAGCACGATCATAGCGCGAACGCGTCCACGGAAGTCAAGCAACGCCTTCAGGTGAGTCCCCCTTCGCGGATCCGTTAATTCTTCGCGCTAATGGGAACGCGAATGTCGTCCGATGTCGTCGATCGAGAAACTACGTCTCGAAGCTCGACGAGTACTCACACGTGAGGTTCAATGATATTCCCTAAATGGTATCGGCATATATTATCACTGAGAAACCGTGAAATCGGTTGTACACTGAGAGAAAAAATATCTATAAAATGAAAAATATTTCTTCAGCGAGCAATAAACACATTTACTTGTATTAGTTACGCATGTTATTATCCTGTGAAAAAAATATTTCATCTTGGAAAATTACACTTTCTGAAATCTGTAATTTTTTTTATCAGAGCAATTGTCGGTTTTATTTAAATAAAAGAAAACTTAGATTTAAGTAAATACCGCGTTATCAGAGCCCACGGAATAAATATTTTCGATTTGTTGGATATTTTGTTCTCTCAGTGTAAGCGTAGCACTGCAATCAGTAAAATCTCGTTGAGGATTTAGTTGATAATAGATAGTAAAATACTACGGATTTCGCAGTGAAATCTTACTTTCACAAGCCAAAGGGAGTTAAGCGGGAGAAAAAATTGTTTTTTTCATTTTTCTCGCGCAATTTTTCGTATCACAAGTTTATAATTCGAGTGCACAATGCGGCACAAACCTAGCGCAGATCAGCACAGCTGTCGAAATGAATAAATTCGAAAAATGGAGGGCTAACTTTGTACAGGCCGGGAGAGAGCTCTTTTAAGTAACCTAGTCAGTCAAAGTATTGATTTTCCGAGTTCTCGCGTAACAACACGCGCTGGATCTCGTGCACAGGAGCAGCACGGTTCTCTATTTACAAAGGGCTTATACGATTGCAGAGCTTCCTGGTGAACAAGAAACAACGGGAGGCGGCGGCCGCGGCGAACGGAGCGGTGCCTGGCACGCCCGGCTACAGAAGCTGGTAAGAGAGAGATATCGTTTAAGATGATAGACGGAGGACGGGACGATTCCCCCCCGAGGAGAATTCGAATCGAGCTTTTAACGAATAAAACTTCGGGGGGTAAATAACGCGTCGAGGTTGGTCATGCGCGGTATCAGTCGGCGATGTTTCATCGCGCGTTTCAATTAAAACTCGACTTTGTTCGCGCGAGATTTTTTATCGAGCTTCTCATCGCGACACATTTTATCATATATGACCCTTCTAGTATTTATATTTTATTTTTCTTATTTTTGTTTAATTGAGAAAGTAGGGAAAGACCGGCGGGATAATATCGATACGAATACGGGACACTGTTAGTTAAAAAAAAAAAGAAGAACATAAGTTTATGCTAGTCGACGCGAGCCTATCTGGACTCTGGCTCGCGATGAATCGAAATTTCGCCGTGATCGTTTCGATATTCAATGGGCCGGCGCGTGATCGTCGTCGTAGTCTTCTTCTGCGCCGCCGACGAAGTAACGGTAATAGCACAACCTGGCCCAGTTATCCATTTAGCAACGGCCGATGCGCTCTCGACGTTATTTCCTTGTCCTCGCCGATGGTAACTTCGTCTCGAGTGTACACGAGCGCGTACTCGCCGGATCGTAAGGCGGTATTCGAGAAGAAACAACAACGACAAAATAACGAAGTAGACATTTCTCAAGTAATCTTGGCTGATCGCGGGACACACGTCGAGCATCGAGATCGACACTTGGGCGCAAATCGCGTCGCTGCCGCTTAATTTGCATCTTCAGAACAGTCGATACATTTATTTCACTTTATTTCAGTTTTATTTGATTTTACTTTTTTTCAATATGCATCTTTTCCCCGGACTGTCGACTCGTCGAGCTACGATGTGACTGTATCGAGTGTTTTCTCGTGCAGGCTGCAGCCACAGTCGGAATCGTCGAGCACCACGAACGCGGGGCACCCTTACCGAATGCCGCAGATGCTCCAGGAGAAGTTCGGCGACGACTTCCCGCTGAGGAAGACAGGTAATTATCCCGGTGTTGTCGTGTGACATGCATACTTCGTACAGGTAGCTCGTGTGTGTCGATAGAATGTCTACTAAAGCATGGTGTTCCGCTGTTCGAAACGAGTTCAAGTCCCAGAGCAGCTTGCGCGTCGACGCGACGTCCGCTTCCTTCGTGGTCGTGATTTTGTTCGCGAGTACACCGAGGCGAACGCGGAAAAGAGAAGGAAAGAAACGGCCTTCCTCGACTCGAGAGATCTGATCGGGTTATCCGGTGACAACACCCATCAAACACACACGCACGAACACGAACGCATACACACGTATATCGGCAAATCGACGCGTCTTATCATCGATTTAATTATCCGCGGATACTCCCGGTTATTTTCTGCGAATATCCACCTCCTGTGCACGTGACATTTTAATTTGCTGCCTGACCTTAAAACAAATCGAGATCGTTTCGTTCGCTCGCTCTCTCGCTAATGCGCGCACGTGCGAGTTCTCTGTAATATTACATCCGTCATTATCGGCTATCGGAAAGAAATTACGGCGATTAACGGCGCCGATCGTTACATCAGCCGATGTATGCGCACGACTTATGGTCGTATCAATAGTCGTTACTTAGAAACTCGTCTTAAATGAGATAAATTTAGATTTAAAATTATAATTAGGCGTGTGAGTGTTCCGGTGGAATTGCTGATTTCAAGCGTAACGCCACGTGTATCATATGATTCCATTGAAATACTCGGATCTAATTCTAAATTCAGGTCCGCGTATTACTGCTGTCAATTTCGACTACCCGAGTCTTTTAGTAACTGAATGTACGGCTAATTTCAGACGTAACGAATTTTGTTCTTTTTCTAATGATAACAAATAATAATAACGTTTGAAATTAGCCACGCACTCAGGTACTGAAAGACTCGGGTCGACCGGAATAGACGGACCTTGGGTCTACTGAATAATCGAAATTGACAATACTACTGCGTATTTCGCTTGAGACAAATTCAAATAATGTTTCAAATAACGACTATTAACTTAGACTGCCCAGTCACCCACATATGAGTGACTGTTTTTATAATAACTGAAATAGGGATAATTTTATGAACGGTTTATAGAGATACTGTGAATAAAAACTATAAAATATCATTTGTATAATATATATTAATGTTAAAAAACAAAATTAACATTATATATTTGTGATTAAATTTTCATATATTTTTCGTGACATTTAGAAATCAATCTGTGCATAATTGTTTTTATTATTATATTAATATTACATTAATAATTTGTTATCAATATATTAAGAATATTTACATTAGATAACATAAAATATGAAATACATAAAGAAGAAGTAGATACTATTATCCTTTCATTGGACACCTAGTTTATTTTGTATTCCGGCTATATATACGTGATTACGCGTGTTACGAGTTTGCGTCCCATGGGCTTTACGCTCGAAGCTATCTGGGCAGTCTAAGTGCTAATACGAATCTTACTCACACGCCCGAGTCGAAATATTAAATGCACGCAATTATCTTCTTTAAAAAAAGAAGTAAATGTGTCTGATTTTAATCGAACACGTGTACATTTTTTGAAATGACTTTTTCTACCCGGAAGGAAATCGAAAAATTCGTGGAAAATTTGAACCAAATTTGTTTAAAACTACAGCTTTGATTCACCAAAAATGCGGTAAATTCGTGATACACAAATTTGTTAGCTTGTTTTATTATTTCTTATCGATTATATCTTTAATTTGTTATACGTATTTAGTGACGTTTTACATGTAAACCAGTGAGACACGGCGATATTAAAGCACTGGACACCGATGAGCTCCATGGCAGTCGACGTGTTAATAGCGTTAAAGTAGCGTCAAAATTTCGACTCAGACTACGAGAAGGTAGCCAACATGTGCGTATCCACGAACTCGCGTACAGTCGGCGTTATGTACGCTGTACCATTCCCCACATGAAGAAAAAAGTTTGATTGAATGAACAAACCAAACGCGTTTTGTTTGAAGAAAGTGAAATTATAAAAATCAAATTTGGCTCATAAGAACCAAAAATTCAATTTCCTTCAACCAAAACCCGTTTGATCCACTCACTGTCGGGTTAATTGAAACTTTTTTTCCGCGTATATTGAAACTTTTTACTATTACACAATTTTTAGTCTATCAGATATGCACATAAAACGCGTGCTACCATCCAGTCACTTTTTTTTGACAAGTCATTGAAAAACTACCACTATTATCCAAAATTAATTATTAATGGTATTCATTTAAAATGGTTACTAATTAAAATAGGCTATTTTAAATCACTTATTTCCTCAGCTACCGTTATATATATATATATATATTTCTGCCGTCTCTCTTAATAAAACTGCCCCGAAAGCGTATTTGTATCCTTCATGTCTTCATGCCCCCTGATTTTACCTCGTTTTGAACTTTCATGCAATACTATGAAAAGAACTCGCTATATGTTAAGTTATCCAAAGATCAACTCTTGAGAAAATATAAGTATTACTTTTTTTTTTGCTTAAATGGCCTTAGTTACTCTTAGAATTTGGCAGGAAATGTCACTTTTGATCACTATTTTGATGTTTGAGAGGTCACTTCTTACCACCTTTTCTGCCAGGAAGTAGCCACTATTTCACTTTCTTTTTTATTCCGGTGAGTGAATGGCAGCGCTGCTCTACCCTTATAGCTAAAGTTGCTTCTGCGATTTTCCATCTTATGCATTACGTAAGGCAGGGAAAATAATGTAAAACTCTCCATTTGAGGAATGGTACGACATGCACGACGCCGACCGTAGATACGCGAGCACGCGCTTGCAACTCGATAAGAAATCGCACGCACGGGCCGAGCGATACCTCGATATTGTCGAGAAAAAAAGAAAGAAAAAAAAACNGGAGGGAGGGGGTGGGGAGGGGGGTTGTCGCGGCACGTGCGCGCCGGCGAAGCGACGATGATAAATAGTAATTAACGAAGCGAGAGCGAACGCGACGACGACGACGGCTGTCGTCGTCGTCGTGTTCTCTCGCGCCTCGTGCTTCTGATCCATCTTCCAAACCCGACCCCTTCCGCCGCCACCGCCCCTTGCCCCCCTTTCTCTCTCTCTATCTCTCGGTATGACAATGACCGACTAACAACCGGCTGAAAATTGGCCAGCCTCGGAGCCGAACCTGCTGAAGGTGCGACTAAAACAACGCGTGGAGAGGAACATGGCAGCGTCGAGAAACTCACCCCTGGCACGCCGGAAGGACCGCCTGCTGTCGCACCTCAAGCGGAAGTCGTTACTAGCAAGTACGTTCCTCTCACACTCGAGCTTCCGAGGACTGAGTATTCCTAGAATGAGTTCTCTCCTCCTCTGCGTGAGCATTCGCCGACGTATATATTATATTACGTATATTTATATATATATATACATATATATATATATATATATCTCTCTATCTATCTCTCTCTCTCTCTTTCGTTGCATCCCGTGTTCGATTAATTGATTGTGGCGTTTTTGTTGACGTTTGCTAACTCTCCCGTAACAGCATGTGCGAAACATCTCCGATTAACATTGCGTAAATTCGACGCTGCGAGATAGAATCGCGAGAACTGTCGAGGAGGAGGCGACTCCCTCGGATTTGGCGCTGGAAAAATCGCGGGTCTGAGAAAGGACATCGTCGTCGTCTTTTCTTCCTCGGACTTCTCTTTCTTTACGACGTCTTCCGAATACGGATAGTGTCTCGTCGGGATCAGTTTCCTCGAGATTCAGTTTCGTCGTGGCTGCGGCCGAGACTTTAGTACTCGTGTTGTTGCGTACGTTACGTCGGGCGTGTGGGGAGTCGTTATTTCTGGGAGATCTCATTGAGTCTCCGTCGCGGTCTCTCTCTCTCTCTCTCTCTCTTTCTCTCATCGTTTTCGCGCGTTGTTGAAGTGCAATCGCGAAGTGCGAGGTCCGGGCGCGCGCGATTGTTTCGCCTTACTTCACGTTTCATCCGTTCATTCGTTCGTTCGTTCATTGCGCAACGAGACGCGACACGCGTGTACCTCCTTGGATCTCGGGGGTTTCGACGTATTAATTGTGCGTTTTTCAGACTCTGGCAGCAATCCCGAGTCCGGGCCTAACTCCCCGCCGACCGTGAACAATTCTCAAGCCAGCCCCACTGCTGGAAGCAACACGGCGATACAAGAGGTGAGTCCCTCTCTTCCTCTCTCTTTCTCTCTCTTTGTCCACCCACCACCGTCACATATCTGGTTGATTCTCTTCGAGCTGCGACGAAATAAAACGCCTCGTCCGATCTTTGTCGCAGGAAGGTGAGAATCCGGCGTATGGAGGACGTCTCACCAGCAGTAGTCAGCAAGGCAGCCTTTCGGATCTTTCTCTCTTCAGTTCACCGTCCATGCCTAACATCTCCTTGGGCAGACCTCACGTGCCGTCGAGCTCGTCGGTAAATACAGATGATACCTTTTAATGAGATCGATACAATTTATATTTATTATTACAAGTATCATACATATAAATTATCGTACAAAGCGAGAGGTGTAGCTATTACCACCTTGAATATCTTTGAAATATCAAAGTAGGAGGCAAAATTTATCAAATCGCATTGTCACACCAACGATGATTATCATATCCAACACCTGTAGATGTAAACTTTTTTTTCCTCATCTAATCGTCGGTAAAATACTTCGATTTCTCGGAGTTATTCGAGGTGTTCGTTATCAAAAGCCTCACTCCTGTATATGTAAATTATCATATAGTTTCTCGACAAATAGTATAAAATTACACATAATTTTCGGGTGGCTTTCGATCTGGTGTGTATGCGCGGGGTCTGACCCTGAAGGGTTTTGCTTGGCAGAGTGGAACGAAGCTGGCGCCGGTCTCGGAAGCGGAGGTGCGGGCCGCGTTCACGGCGCGTCTCGGCATGCCGCTCACCGGTCAGATGCTGCCCGGCACCTTACCGTTCTATCCGTCCCTGACGGTGATCGAGGGCGAGCCGACGTACATCTACAAGCAGATGCAGAACCTGGAGCCGGCGCCGCCGGTCGGCGGCAGCCGGCAACACCCAGTCTACCATACCGCGCCGATTACGGATACACAAGTAGCGCACGCAAGACTGCATAAGGCTGGTCACCGGCCTTTAGGTAGTATGTTCCCTCTTTGTCTACGTAGAAGCCCTTAAACGCGCGTGCCCTGTTCCAAGGACAATGGTCACCGAGAAAAGCGAGTCTCATGCGAAGGCTGGACTTACCGCTCTCTCGCTGGGTTGGCCCCCAGCTTGCTCGAGCAGCCGACGGTTTCTCGACGGACCATTCTCGCGCGAAACACAGCACGCGTCCTCTCCGTCGCCGATAGCGAGCGTCATGCGCGACACTCACGCGACTTTCTCTCGGCTTCTCTTCACACAGGTAGGACGCAATCGGCGCCGTTGCCGCTCGGCCATCCGATGCTGCAGGGCGGCATGATCGCGCCGACTACCCACTACGAGGAGTATCTCGCGGAGAAGCAGCTGCACGACCAGCAGCAGGCGCACAACTACCTGAAACAGCAGATCCGCCAGACGGTGTTGACGCGGGTCGGCTCCAGGACTCAGGCGAATCAGCTGGACGAGGCGCCGGAGACCGAGGAGTCCGAGGTGATCGACCTCACCGGCAAGAAGGACCACCCGGAGGAGAGCGAGATCTCGAAGCAGCAGAGGGACCGGGAGCAGTTCTTGCAGCAGCAGAGAGACCTCATGATGCGGCACACCCTGCAGACGAACGAGTCGACCGTCTACAGCGGCAGCAGGACCTCCCAGTCGGCCAGGCCGCTCTCGAGAGCGCTGTCGAGTCCGCTGGTGCATTTAGGTAAAGCCTCGCCGTCGAAAGGCTGCCCTTTTCAACACCCTTCGCTTCTCCGTGTAGATGTGCAGTGACGTGCCCCCTCAGAGCTTTCGGTTTCCTCACTTACTTCACTGACGCGTGCTCTGTTTACATTACACATACATACATACATACAACACAGCTTGGCTTTGCCTTTCTGACACACGTTGAATGAACTTAACGATCTTCAAATGACTGGCTCTATTGATAACAAATCAAGGAAAGGCAGGAGGAAGAGCCAATAAGAGCGCAATAAATTGATTTATTAGTAATAAATAGGCTTATTGCTAATTTAACGTTATTACATTACCTCTGCAAAAGCTCTTACCTTTCCTGTCTTTTTCAACGGTCTTCATTTATTGACTGCTCGCGGAACGGAGAAGAGAATATCCGATGAAGACCTAATCTCAGAATCTACAAACCATACACACACACACACACACACTCTCGCGCGCTTGCTAGATTAAACGCGCGTGTAGGTTTAATCCGATTTTCCAAAGGGCTTAGGCTTCAGCTTCCTTGGCTCATGAAACGTAATTTGAATTTGCACGAAGGTCCCCAGGGTGGCGGCGGCGACATATTCGCGCGCGGCTCCCCGCACCGACCCACCACGGGATTAGCCTACGATCCGTTGATGCTGAAGCACGCGTGCGTCTGCGGTGAAACGGTCAGGGGTCATCCCGAGCACGGCGGCAGATTGCAGAGCGTCTGGGCTAGACTATCGGAGACCGGCCTGCTGCAGCGGTGCGACCGAGTGCGCTCGCGCAAGGCCACGCTCGAGGAGATTCAAACGTGCCACAGCGAGGCGCACGCTCTTCTCTTCGGTGAGCTCTCTTTTATTCCTCACTCGCGTAACGCGCTGTCGTACAACCAATTGCATTTTCCACCTTCGGAAGTGTAGAATTAAGAGAAAGAAAGAAATCTTGGCAAGTTAGAATTCGCATGATCAAATAAAGAAAATCTATATTTAAGGCTCTCGGGAACCTTGAGCAATCGCAAGAGACGAATAAGAGCCCGGTGCTGGTAATTAGTTGCAAAATTACGAAATTGTTGGACTTAACGAGTCGATGAATCTTGGGTAACTCCGATATGTACGCCGCATCTAAGGGAAACTGAATTTACCGAGTAATCTGTTATGTTTAAGGGAAATGAACCTATACAAATAAAAAACTGTATATTGTCTACTGTTGTAAAAAGAAATGGAAATACGAAATAGGTTTACTTTTTATATTTAGCAAAAAACTTGTAGACACCCTTGTAATTTTGGCTATATATCCCATGGGGGTGGGATGTACGACTATTCATGAGTGGGAAATTTGGCTTATGAAATATTTACAAAAATTTACAATAATATTTGTAAATAAAACGTAAAATGATACAGTAACTTGTGAAGTATGTGTAAAAAGTTGATTAGGATATAAGAGTGAGAAATAAATATACGGAAAGTAATAGTAAAAGTAATTTATAAGTGTTTAACATAAATAAAAATTTTATCTCACGGATGTTAATACAATAACATTTGCAATATTTACTGTATAAACCAAACCCAAAATGCTTCCTTAGAGAGCGTCTGTATGCTGCGGCATAAATTCTGCACGCTAAAAATGCCGTATGTCCCAAACAAGTGGGATATATACAAGGCATCAAGCTAAACAAAGAATACAAGAACCAAGTACTTGTGTACTTCGCTATATCTTATCCTTAAATATCCCTCTCAACTTCTTATCGCAAAATAATCATTAAGTCGCAAAATAATCATAAAGTCTCTTACATTCCTTACAGTCATCATTTTAAGCAGATCGGTGATATACGATTGCGCTACTTACTACATTGAGAAATCAATTCAATTCACGAGGGTTTTGTTAATATTAACAATAAAGAACTAAAATCGTAACACAATGCTAACATAACATAAAAACATAACATAGTGGTTGCTGGGTAAGTTGCTCCTACTCTATTTTATCTGACTTCTGCGTCGTAAATTCCGGAGTTACCCTAATGTCCTTCCGACTCTTCTCAGTGAAAACTACCGACTTTAGTGAGCAGTTTTCACTTATAATCATACTTTACTGTAGTTTTCATTGAGGAAAGTCAGAACCTGCGACCGAAACGTTCGGACGATTTAGATTCATCGACTTGATAAGTCAGGTAACTTTTTCATTTCGCAATTATCAACGTTTCTCCCAGTTATTTAGCGAAATTGTCAGTTCAGTCGTTAGAATTGTCAGATTATATTGCAGAAATCTTATAACTTTCTTCGAATTCACAAAGTTGCTTTGCTTGAGTGGAATTGCGAGTTAACCGGGCAAAATGAACATCGATCGCTGATCGAATTCCGTTGCTTGTCGCGGCAGGGACGAACCCGTTGAATCGACAGAAACTGGACATGTCGAAGCTGTCGCAATTGCCTATTAAGAGTTTCGTCCGACTACCTTGTGGCGGGGTCGGCGTTGACTCCGACACCACGTGGAACGAGCTTAACACCGCGCCCGCCGCCAGAATGGCGGTAGGCTGCGTCGTCGACCTCGCGTTCAAGGCGGCGATGGGTGACATTAAGAACGGCTTCGCCGTCGTGAGACCGCCCGGGCATCACGCGGAGACCAACCAGGCGATGGGCTTCTGCTTCTTCAATTCCGTAGCGATCGCGGCGAGGCTACTTCAGCAGAAACTCGACATTAGAAAAATTTTAATCCTGGATTGGGTGAGTGCGAAAGAGATCGTTTATTTATATATTCTGTGGGGTTCGAGAGGCCCACTTTAATCAAAACAATACATGTTCAAGCAAAAGATGAAGCTCAGTGATTATTTGTCACTGGAATGTTCTCTTAGATTCTTATGGCGAATTCGATTGGATGCGCATCGAATGCGCGCTAAGCCTTGTTCATAATCCGTTCCTATATTTGAGAGAGAGAGAGAGAGAGAGAGAGGACCGCGTCAATCACACGTGACGAGGACGGACGGGACGCGACTTCGCGCGCGGAACAAGGAGAAAAGGTGACGACGGAGGCGCGAGAGACAATATACGCCGACGCGCTCTGCTTCTCGCCATTTCAATTTTAGACGTCTCCACACACCGCGAATATAAACAACGCGCGACGTGTGACGGATCCTCGAGAGACTCGTAGCCAAGATATCGGGCTACGCTTATAAATACCCCTGGGGCATGTGCGCTGCCTCTTTTTCTCACTTCCTCTCTGTCTCACAATCGACGACGAACTTTCACAAATCTCTTACTAATCACGGTGATTTCCTTTACGCGGAACTCACTCCCGCGTAACGTTGGAGCGCTAATCTCTTTCAAACGTGAACTTTATTCTGTATTCGCGCCAAGAGACAAGTTATTACAGATTGCAAATCTTCAAGTTAATCACATTTATACCTGGAACCTTTCTTCAATCTCAACGCTTTCGGAACACGACTCTTAGTTTTAACAGTCCAATTCTAATTTTAATTTTCCTCCCCAAAGACTCCTATTGATTTAAATAATATAAAATAATGGATTAAATAACTTGAAATAACATTACTGTATTTCGTCAGCTAGAAATTGCACCTACTTTAAAGAGAGTTTTGCCTCAGAGCAACAATTAGTCTATATTTATTTGCTTCTACAGCAGTCCATCTTAAATGGCACAATTATGAATTTTCCGATTGCCCGATCGTTTAAAGAAAATCTCATTTTTTGTTAAGCCGTTAACTCTGTCAGCTGTTATCACTTGAAATAAATGAAGCCCTCTTTCTTCAAACGTTGACATCGTTTGCGCCCTCTTGTGCCGCAGGACGTCCATCACGGGAACGGCACCCAGCAGATGTTCTACGACGACCCCCGGGTCCTGTACCTCTCGATACACCGACACGACGACGGCAACTTCTTCCCCGGCACCGGCGGGCCCACCGAATGCGGCGCCGGCGAAGGTCTCGGCTACAACGTGAACGTGGCGTGGTCCGGCGGGCTGAATCCACCCATGGGCGATGCCGAGTACCTCGCGGCGTTCCGCACGATCGTCATGCCGATCGCCAAGGAGTTCGACCCGGACATCGTGATAGTCTCGGCCGGCTTCGACGCGGCTGTCGGCCACCCGGCGCCGTTGGGCGGCTACAAAGTCAGCCCGGCGTGCTTCGGCAGGATGACACAACAGTTACTTAATCTGGCCGACGGCAAGGTCGTCCTCGCGCTCGAGGGTGGCTACGACTTGGCGGCGATCTGCGACTCCGCGCAGGAGTGCGTCCGCGCGCTCCTCGGCGACGAGCCCAGTCCTCTGCGCGACGACGAGCTCACCAGGATCCCCTGTCAGAACGCCATCGACACGTTGCAGAAGACCATCGCCATTCAGGTGACATCATTGGCTCCCGTGTAGTCGTAATTCTGACGTTCAGTCCGAGTGGTAAACGGCGAGTTTACAGTCTCGCAAGCTCCTTGCGAGTGAAAGCTATTTCTTCTTGCGAAGACATTTTTGCAAAAGTGAACTGCCGATAAGGAAAAGTTTTTTTTTCTTCTTACTTTTTTTCTCTTGTTCTGCGCGCACCTTCATCATGTGTCGGCTCTTATTGGCTTACACGAATTATATTGTGATCGTATCGAGCAGACTCCGTTAATACTGTCCCTTAGTGACATCGAAAATGTCCAATCAGGAGCATTATTTGTGCACCATGCCTGTTCTTAATTTGATGAATCAGCGACGATTCTTCTAAGCAGCAGTCATGACACATGAATATTCCAAAATGACGCGCCTAATTGGAAAGTTCCGGTGTTATTATGCCTGGGGGGGAATGGGACAGCATTAATAGAAGAGCCTACTATACATCAGAGAGCCTTATTAGACTTGTACATTTTTTATTCGTTTTCTCAATCTACAAAGTTATTTTTGTAGAGATAACTTATCTGTATATCTGAACAACCGGGTTGATGCAGATCGCAGATCGAGACATTGTCGGCCGAGCACGTCGAATTGCGAATTAGGCTCGACTCGAATTGAATAGCAACGCTCGGTTAACGTTTACCGTCTCTTCGCAGATGTCACATTGGCCTTGCGTGAAGCTCGCCGCTCACACGGTGGGTATGAGCGCGATAGAGGCGAGCCAGAAGGAGCACGACGAGACGGAAACGGTGTCCGCCATGGCCTCTCTGTCGATGCAGCAGCCTACAAACCTTACGTTAGTATCGAATCCATCTCTCTTGTTGCATTCGTAACCTACGTAATCGATAGAATTATAATATTGGAATGGAACAGGATAAACAGAAAAAAAAAATATTAAAGTTCTGTGCCATACAAATTGTAAAAAACTATGAACAATATGGTTCGGATGTCTGTAAAAAGGATCGTTGAAAATTGCTAACCAATTAGAAATCACTAGACAGAGAAGAATTGCTTTAATTAATTGTACCATTATAATATATTTATATATTTTTTTCCTTTTCGTATTTTTACGCTAGCATTTGTATTTAGTAGTTTAAGTTGTATTTAGTATTTCTTAAGGATCGTCTACAATAGCCGCAAAGTATGCAGTAAGACGTAAGCAGTAAGCTAATTGATCAATTGGACTCCCCAAAATAAATCGACTGTGATTTACGGCTATTATAGACGGCCCTTCATAGAGCAAGAAGCCTTATTTTCTTTCTTTTTTCTTTTTTCTTTTTTTTTTCTTTATTGAACATATTGTACCAAAGGGACAATTTTCCGTATATAAGTAAACAAATAAATAATCAATAATTACATTTGACTGATATACCTGCGGAGGGTCTATTTACTCATTCGACAATCGACGAATGTTGCAGGACCACGCCAGAACATTCCCGAGAGGTGTCCGAGGAGCCGATGGAGCAGGACGAGGCCAAATGAGACGCGCGTCAATCATTCTGCTAGGTGTAGAAAAGCGTAATTAATTGTACCGCGAAACTGTGCAAATGCTCTTTGGGATTCTCTCTCGAAAGAGGTGCATTTCTCAGTGACACACGTCGGCCGCTGAATCCGTCGTCGCGTCGTTGCACACGGCTGCTGGCCGGCTCACAGTTACACGACAGTCCCACGAGTGCCCGCCGCTTTGTGAGCGAACGCAAAGCAGGGACGACGCGTGCAAGATTTCTGCACCGTCCGGGTTTTACGAGTTACACAGTTGTTCTTTCGTCTTTTTTCTCTTTTTTTTTTTTTTCTTCTAAAGACGGCGTCTGAACGAACAACGGTCGGGTAACGAGGAAGGAGTGATCTGTAAAGATTTCGGGAAGAGCTCGTCGACGACGCAGTCGCGACCGGACTCGCCCGACTTCTCTTGTTTTTATCGATAGACATGAATGTGTAAAGTTGTTTGTGAGTCTTGCAAACGTTTTTATTGTTCTTGCGCGTTCGGAACGCGCGGAGATTGTTGTTGTGAAGTTAGCGACGGCGAATGATCATCATGACGATGTATATTCGTCAGTCGATAGATTTCTTTCTCTCTTTTTTTTTTCCTTTTTTTTTCTAATACGGATCGCGAGTTTCGCGAGATACCTTTCGTGACGAGTCGCTTGTTGACGTTGTTGAGAAGAGAGAAAACTCGAGCGCGCGAGAAGAAAACGGCTTTCGCCCGAGACCCCGATTGGCTGACCCTGTTTGACAAATCTTTTCGATACCAGTGTCTTATATCGACGAACAACGAATGACTTTGACGACTCTCGATGTCGAGTGAAAACTGGAACGAGAACGTTTTGTAACTTTTGTCCGCTTGATCCTCGGAGGACGGAGGGAGAACATTGTGCGGATCAAGCGTGTCGTTGTTTTTGCTGACGATAACTCGGTGGCGGGAGAGAAAATGAATCGCGAACAACGCGCGTTGTCTTCGAAAAAAAAAAAATGATAATAACAATAACGTCATATGGGACATTATTCGCGAGCCGCTTGTTGATGTTTCGCTGAGGTGAATCAGCGAGATGATGTTGAATCCACTTCTCGAAGCTACACATATACACACATCACACACACACAACACACACAAAACAAGTCTGATGCATCGTGTTGCCTTGGATAATTCGTAGGAAAAATTAATTAATTACTCGTGTAAGAATCGGAGAGAAAATATATCGGGAGCCGGAGAATTGTCGGGCCGGGAATCGTACCCGGGACCTTCCTCTTGAGAACAATCTCCTGTTTACCGCGCTGTACTTCTTTCGAGCGTGCCATTTCGAAAGCACGCTTGCGATCCTGAATTTTTAATCTATCGATCTCTACCGTGCGTGTTCAGTTGCTCCAATTACACGACCTGCGCGGAGTCCTGGCTCAAACATTCTGGTGTCTCTTTGGCATTTGTAACTTCTTTTTCTATTACGCGATCGATTTTATGCTTCCTCCATCCTCTCTGATGTTTACGACGGTTTGAATTCTCCGTTTGTCAGACGGGAGATCGTACAATTGTTCTTGGTATGAATGAGATTTGAACTTTGAAGCTCCCATCTTCTTTTCATTCAATCGTCTCGAATATACCCTGTGTAACTCTTCGTACGATACTCTTTTTTTCTTCCACTCCCGTGTAATTGGTATCCACTGAATTGGTCTTATCATTCTACCCATGATCCAATACTGTAGCATTATATCCTTGAACGAAATTATGTATCAAATTGTCTAACTGCTAGACGTCGCAAAATTCTTGTCCAACATCGGTAGAAAAAAATCATAATTGTATATAAATGACTTAGCTATTGGATGTACGAACTTTCCGCACTCCAGGAATCGTCCAAACACATCTGACACATATCTTTCCTCGATCTCGCTTACCCACTAATGGACGGATAACAGACGTAAAACAACATACGTATCATCACGCATCTAGGGGAAGCTTGCTTCTAGAAAAGAGACGTTCAATATGATGTCCAGTTGTAGATATATTTCCAGCTGCCAATACATTTCCTCTCCGATTCTTGCAACGTGATAACTCCGCGCGCATCGTCGCCGTATATATTTTTAAAATGCTAATCGCGACCATGAACGTCGCCTGCTTGTTGGAACACTTTTCAACGACTCGTATTTTATCGAAACACGTTCAGGGAGACTAATACAGGGAGCTTGATGGGAGAGGAGCGGTCGTTAAACGCGTCGGCGTGCCGCGAAACGAGATCCTTCTTTTGTATCGCGCCTATCTGTGTGTCGTTAGGGGGACACACCGTAGAATTTAAATCCACAACCGCGACGAACGCGATTACGACTTTTCCGAGCGATTGCTGTGTGTAATCACTGCATCACGTACGCCTTACCACTCTAATTAGAGCTGCGTATGCAATTTTCGACTTTATGTATATATACGTAAGGTTGAAAATCGTGTAACTCTCGATCTGAGGGATGATAAGACATACACGGCGCAGTGTGTGTACGTGTCCGTCATCGTGGGAGCAAAACCGACACAATTGAAAAGGTTGTGTAATAATTGTACAATAGGAAGCAAAATGATTTGGACGCAGCTAAAAGTTCGGCCGATGATCCAATGAGAGAACGAATTAGTCGAAGATAAGTTCTCTCGTTGGATCATCGATTGTAATCCGATCTTGGATTTAGATTTAGCTGACTTAGCTGCATTAAAGTTTGGAGAAATGTACGCATACTGAAGCGTGAGAATCTCGTACGTACGTTTCATACGTTTCAATATGTATGCAATTTTCTCGAACTAGTGCAGCCAATTCAGCCTAAAAGAACAGAACACTTGGCTGCGTTCATACCGTTTTGCATCCCACTGTATCGGTGAGCGCCGATTGGTCGAACGAACGCTTTCGAGACGAACTTTTGGGCTGAAAACTTTTTGACTGGGTGAGGAAAAAGACGATATTCTTGAGAGAGGGAGAGAGATTTGCGAAAACTGCGCACGCACGCGCGCACACAAACAAGCAAGGCCTCGTTCGAAAAGTGCGTGCGTGCGAGTGAGAGGGAGAGAGAACAATTGGACAAACGTGTATTCATAAAAGACAGTAGATGAGTTAGATGTGTTTTCTCCGCCTCCCGTGCGCCGATCCATCCTCGGTGGAGATGTGAGCGCGCGCGCGCATCGTGGTGCTGGTCACTAGCGCTTAATTGTCTCGTCGTCCGACTCGCTTTCCCTGTTCCTCCGTGCATTCGGAGTTACGAGCCGTCGCTGCTGCTCTCCCCGTTGTCGTACGGCAGAAAGAGAGAGAAAGAGAGAGAGAGAGGCAGCGAGAGAGCTTTCGGTGTGTGCGACACCTGTTCTTTTTTTTTTTCTCTGGGGTTTCTTCTCGAAAGTCGAGACGATATATTCGTGATACGTAAGACGAGAGAAAAGTCGATGTCTAGATCCTAAGGCGATGTTATGATGTCGTGTGCTGCGCGAGTATGCGAACATATGTTGTACGCGAGCCACGCGTACAGCGGAACGCGAGACGGGACATGTGTGTGTGCGCGTGTGTGTACGTGCGTGTCAGGATGCCGATGAGACACCTGGACACATTACAGATATTGTTTCTCACGCCCTCGAGAGAGAAAGAGAGAGAGAGAGGCTATCGATTCGACGGTTATCTGGTCGAGCCGCGTCCGGCGATGTTATCCTTTTACCGCGAAATCGACCCGGTCCAGATGGCCCGATTTGAAATTGAATTTTATCATCACATGCGTGATAAATTGTAATTGATGTATCGTGAGACATGACTTGAACTTGCGCTTCGAGGAAATTTAAATTCGCATAAATATTCGCATGTTTATTTTTTCCAGCGAGTCTCTTGAAACTCGTTCCGAAATAAATGTTTTGTACAATATTAGTTATTGAAAAGTTGTAAATCTCGCATCGAAGAATTGATATTGCGCTGTTCTAGTGATATATCGGCGTCATCCTTGAGAATTCCCGATTACACACGCCTCCGAAAGTCCATCGTCCGTCTGCGCGTTTCGTACGAGCACGCGGGCTCGCGTCGATATATTGCGTTAATATTTGTTGTTAATGTTTGCGAATGCGCGAGGGGCGAGTCGCGGAACGTCGTCGCACCGACGGTGACGTTCTCCCGAGATTCAACAACAACAACAACTTGGTTTTTGCTGCGAACAAAGGCTGGTGTGATTTTTGTGATATTTTGTAAAAAGAAGAAGCTAACGTTACAGTTAATTAAGAAGTATACGTCGCGAAAATGTGCGTGTAAGGGAGAGGGAGAGAGAACGTGTGAACGGAAAGAAAATAGATAGAGAAGATAAATATAATTATTCACAGATACAAGCATTTATTTTTGTGTCATGCATTTTACGGAGAAAAGAAAATGATAAAAGAAATAAAGATGAGTATAAGAGGAAGAAAAATCTATTGATAAACGCGAATTACAAGGATACACATATGATATATGTATATACGCACACATATGTGTATATATATATATATATATGTGTGTGTGTGTATGTGTGTGAAGTTTGTCATGCAGGAAAAAAATATATATATACATAAAGAGTATATATCTATAATTCTATATATATATATTAAAATACCGATATATATACATTATATATCCGTGTATCGCAAGAATCTCAAGTGTCTGTTAAATGTTGTCCTGATAAAAGGAAAAAAGTTCACCGAGGAAACGCTGCGTGTAAAGATCGACTCGATGTATATTAAGTATAAATACGAGCCCAGCCTATGTGTGTGTGTGTGTGTGTGCGCGTGTGCGCGTGTGTGTGTGTATACAGTAAGTTAATTAAAGCGAGAAAGAAAGAGAGAAGAAAAGAAGGAAAGAGGAGGGAGAGGAAAAAGGAACGTTGACGATTCGTTAAAAGCACACCAGTCTGTCATCGACTCGAGATGGTAAAGTGACCCTGTGGTACTACAGTTATCGGAGGTGACTTTAGGCAGTGAAAGAGAGAGATAGAACGAGCGTATTCGCCTGTTACGATAATTTAAGAACGAGAGTGAGCCGCGCGCGCGTCGTGAGAAACGGTGGTGGGTGGGTGGGGTTTGCTTTTCTTTCTCTTCTTCGGGATTGCGCGAAGACCGTTCTCAAACTGAGAGAGAGACTACTCGAGAGGGCAAATTCTCTCTCGTCGCGGGCCTACAAACGTCATTCTGGTTAATAGGTTCTTCATTCTCACGATTCCCGCTCCCACCCCTCGAAAGCTTCATCTCATCGTCGTCGAATTCATCGCTACGCGCGCCCATCGGCGTCCGGACGAAGCGAGGCGTCTCCAGAGACCCACAGATCCGCGCTCTCGACCTCATGTTTGGCGCTGAATACCGAGTATTCGCCGAGGAATCGTCCACCTTCATGTTGAATCCCACTTGCGATCTTGCGAGCGATTTTTCTTTCAGAATCCATTCGACGTTAAAACGTGATCGCTCGGTCGGTTAATCCCGACAGACAACAAATCGATTGCCGCGAGGACGCTCGTCTCCGTAGACCGTTACATTTCGTCTGGGCGGTCAAATCGGCGCGATTTTCGTTCGGAGCGTGAGAGAGAGAGAGAGAGAGAGAGAGAGAGAGAGAAAGCGAGAGAACTTGTGACATTCCGGTATCACACTCAGCATGGCAAGTTGATACAAACTAGATGTAAATGAACTAAGTTCTGTCCGAACGCCGAGTATAAATGTGAATTAACAGAGCTCTACTGTTACGTTATTACACATGCACGAATATACTGTCTATATTGCATAAGCTTAATGTAATAGTCATAAATTTTTTATGTATATAAATGTACCTCGTAAAGAAGTAATTTTAAATAAAAAGTATAGTCATTGTGTTATAAACGCGTCACGGTGGCTGACATCGCGTTTCTCTCGACCGTCACGGCGATTTTCGGCAATTTCCTAATACTCCGGCTACGAGTCTCTCACCGACCACGACGACCGGAGCTCGGCAAGAAACGCTGCACGGCTCGTTCCGGCTGGTGATCTCTTGCACCTCTTCGAACAACAGAGACGTGTGAAACTCTTCGCTTCTTCCGTTCCTAGGGAAGGGGAAAGATTACACAATCGCTACCCTACGAAACACTCGACTGAGGATCGAGCGATACACCTCTGGTGGAGATATACGTGTATATATATATATATGTGTGTGTATATATATATATATATTTGTATATATATATATATATATATATTTGTATATTTCGGAGTTGTAGGTACAATTCAGTACGTGATGTCTGAATCTTACAGCACAGTGATGAAAGTGTGACTACCATACCGCGCGGTTATGCACAGAAGCGAGAAATGTCCGCATATCAACAGTCGCGCTCGTGATTCGAATAAAAACAGTGTCAATTAAAATATCGCTTACGTACGTCACGTAGGAAGTTCGTGTTTTGTTTGTGTATGTGTGTGTGTGTGTGTGTATATGTTTTACCGTAGAATCCACTCTAGGTTCAAAGTACTCGCGAAGCTCGAGTGTAATAGATCGGTTTCCCAGTATATATACAATGTAGCACGGGAACTGAGAAATCTCTCTCGCGCGAAAAGTGTGCCGCTACGCTCGATCGACCAATGTACATATTCTGTTGCGCCTCCTCGCGGTCTGCACAACGTTGGTAGACCGACGAAAAGGAAGCGCGCATACACGTGATTTCATACGTCACAACCCTCAGTTTTGTGCGCACGCGGGCGGCCTCCGAGTTGGCGCAGGGACGTGGTCGGGCTCGCGAAACGGACCATTTTCAACGCATTCATGCCGATCGAAGAGGAGTCGACGAGAAATTTACATACACTTGTTAGAGGATAACTTCGTCGACTCGTCTCGTAGAGGTACGATTTGAACGCTAGGTAGAGACGATGACCGAGAGTTCCGAGGCGGACCTCGAGAAGACGGGAGTGAGTCGCAACGGTGCCCGTGAGAGGCGGTTCTTAGCAGAACTTCCATCGGTTGCCGCATTCGTTGCACAACACGAACGTGGTCATCGGCTCGTCGGCCGAGCGCGTCTGCACCTGATTGTACGTGCAGTTGCGCTTCTTGCATTTGCCGCACTTGAGCAGGTCGGTCTTCGTGCCCTGCACGGTGGCGAGCTGCGCGTCGTTGATGGCCTCCTTCTTGAATTGCTCGCGCAGCTGCTTTATCTCGTCGCTCGCCATCTCCTCCGCGGTCATCACGGCGAGCCGCGCCGGTGTGATCGCGCCCACGATGAAGTTCGTGCGCAGATTCGGGTTCTTCACGTCGCGCAGGTTGGCGACTCTGCTGCGCACCTGCGTGGGGGGAGGGGAATAATCGTGACCGGTGATTGTTCAAGTGTAAAATGCGTTGCGAGTGTACTTAAAGACGAATGAGATCGCGCATGCGCGCTTAGAGCCTCGGCGGAACGGTCGACCTGTAATTTTAAGATGACAATGTTTCGTGCCTGAAATTTTTCTCTCAATTATCGTGCGTTTCATTTTGTTTTCATTGCACCACGGTTTTGCCGTCGATCACAAGACAGAGACTCGAAGCATGAAACATTGTCCAGTGTTGCCGCAGAAAATCGAGGAGTCGTGGAAATTTATAAACGTGAACATTTCAGATTACATATTCGTTATGGGGAACTCTCCACTGTCGTTTGGAAAAGTCGGGGGATTTCAAGATTCATTTTCTGTGGCAACCACGATTTCATCAAACCGACGAGTCAGCCATTTCGCTAAGTACAGAACCTTACCCTGTTCTTGTATCTATTGTCGGTGTTTTTGAATTCCGCATAGATCGCCTCCTCCAATTCCTCCGCCAGCTCTTCTGGACTGGCGCAACCGTCGATGACCTTCCCGTCCACGCGCAACGCTGCGGCCAACAATTCCCTGCATTTTAATCTGACCGCGTCTGTCGTGGTGGGAGCCGGGAAGGACGACTGCTTTCTCTGAAGGTCCTTGCTGGGCTTGTCCTCCTTCATTTTGGCATCATTCCCGTCTGTCGTGTCCTTATCCTTCTTCTGGTCACCGTCCTCTTTACCCTTATCCGACTTCTCGTCCCTCTTCTTTGAACTACTCGACGAGGTCGAGTCTTTCTCTTTATTCGATCCTGAGAAAATCACAGGTTGTTCCCGTTAATCGTCCCCACGCCGAAATCTCCTACATCTTACGCTTGCAATGTATACATGCCTGATAAGAATTTCTTCCAGTTTTTGATGAGAGTCTTTGACAAGGAGATCACCTCCTCGTCCCTGCTGGATTTCCTCAAAGCGTTGACTGTCATTCCGATTCGTGTTTTGGTCAGTAGTTCCAAATCCACAGGTAACTTTTGAAGTATCTTGAGCAATTCTAACGCTTGTTCCTGGCCCTATATCGACAGACAGATTACATTGCATGGACGGCTGTTTCCAAACGAGGCTGCATCTTCATATAATATGATAATTTGATGATAATTTATATCGAACAATATATTTGACAGCAACTAATCACAAGTCTGTTAATATCTAAGTACATTTTCTCACATGTATTTCTGCTCTTTGCAGATTATCGACAGAAAATTTCTTGAAGTAGCGAAATACTTCAGAAGCATACGTCAAGTGTGTGTGTGTGTGTGTGTGAGAAATTTTTCGCAAAAATTAATTCACTATAGAAGACATGATAAAAATTAAGAATCAACAGATGTAACATATCTCTCTCTCTCTCTCTCTCTTTCACTCACACTCACTCATTCACTCACTCACTCACTCACTCACTCACACACATACGACTGTTAGCGGGATACGTTGGATAAATCCGGGCCGATGTTGATACTGTACTTGGTGGTGGTGAATAAACATTTTCTCAGCACGAGAGCAGTATCTCGACGAGCTTGTTTACACGTTGTTCTCACATGAAACGACGCTAGCCGATAACGCGGCGGGTCCTCGTCAAACAAGAGCAGCGCCTTCCTCGTCGTCGTCGGTTTTCAGCGCGCCCGGGCAAAGATACTGCGATCTTTATTTTACTCACTTACTCACCGTCCCGTCACCGCTGGACATTTTGTTGAGTTTCTTCTGTATGCGCAACACTTCCTCCTCGGCGCTCATTTTCGCGTGTATCGGGGTGCCGCAGCTCTCCACCGCACGAATTCGGTCGCGCACAGATGCGAGATGCGAGAGGACAACAAAACTGCCGTTGACGCTCACGACCGTGGCTCCCGATCATTGGCCTCGGACTCAAGACGGGCAACTCGAGGCGACCCGCGCGAAAATAGGTCGATTTCGCAGTGGCGTAGCCCGACAGGTGAGAAAAACAATTTCGTTCACTTATCGTAGACTGATCAGACGACGATAATAGCAGATATCAAAGGCGGCATGTTCGCTCGTTCGGTCGTGCTGCTAAAAATAAAAACACTTCTCATTCGTCGTTGAGTCGCACTACTCGAAAATGAGGGCCGTCCGACTTGTCGTTGATTCGTACTACGACTTCGTCGAGGAAAGTGACGGCTCTCGCAACGGAAACTTTGGAACTAAATGTACCAATCAGAACGTGGCATCTCTAATATATCACTAGATCTCACTGGATCCAACCATGAACTGGCACTGTGTGCGCAGGCCTAAGGGATTGTTACAGTCCCTCCACATAGAATGCGGAAACGCTTCCCGCGCGGCAAAAAGCGGCCAATCAACGTGCCATTTTTCCACGAGAACAAAGTTTTATTGGCTGTCGTAATGCTTCCTGCTGCGGAAATTTCTGTGTGCAAGAGCCATTATTCCGGCCAGTCGTGAATTAGTTCCAAAGTCTCCGCTACGAGTCTCTACTAATCTGAATGAAGAATCGAGGTCGTAGTATAACTTAACGATAAGACAAGCGTGTTTTATTTTCGCTTAGTATTTTGACATAATGAGGAATCCGATGGTCTGTATTTTAAAATAGAACTCAACGACGGATAAAAGTTGTTTTTTTTTTATTTTCGATAACGTGTCTGAATGGCAGATCAAAGAGACATTTGTTATCAAGTAGTTTGACTCAACGCTGAATGCAGCGTTAACCTAACCTAACTTTTCTGCAGCGGTGTCGTTCGAATCACACACGTGTGTTCTGTTGTACGAATTGTATTCTATTGTTTATTATAAACCAGAGGATTGTTAATCTCCGGAAGGAAATAGCTATCAACGAAGCAGGATGTCTCGTTTAATAGTGAGACATTTGCCAAAGAACGTATGTATGTTATTGTACGCGTTATTTTCTCATTTTACTTCGATACACATTAATTCTTATTTCTCGCACGTAGATCACAGAAACCAAACTGAGAGAATTATTCAGTGAAAAAGGTGTTGTGACCGACGTCCAGCTCAAGTACACGAAAGAGGGAAAGTTTCGTCGGTTTGCATTCGTTGGTTATAAAACAGAGGAACAAGCACAATTGGCGCAATCCTATTTTAATCAGTCTTGTATTGAAACCTGCAAAATATCGGTTGAGCTTTGCTGTAATTTAGGTAGAGCATACGAGCAATATTTAATTATATTGTAATAGCAAGTCAGTATCTTTCTTTCTTGTAGATACTGATGATATTTATGTTTCAGGTGATCCTTCTAAGCCGAGAGCATGGAGTAAATATGCGACTGATAGTTCACATAACAAAGTTGATAAAGCCTCCGATGCTAAGTCAAAAGAAGCCTCAACAGATTTTTCGGAAAAATCCGATGTAAAGTCTGATAAGACTGGTGAAAAGAAAGAGAAAAAGAAGAAAAAGACAGACAAAAATGACAACAAGGAACTCAGGAAAGCACTTGAGAAGGTACGAAAAGTCTTCTTTACATTTCTCCTGTAACTCAGTTAATTTGTTTCATTTGTTACAAAACAATTTTCTTATTCATCTTCTTATATAATTATAAATTCAGCACAAGGATGATCCTTTATTCATGGAATTCCTTGAAGCACATAGGGGCAACAATATGAAAGCAGTATGGAAAAATGATATTGAAACATCTGTAGAAATTACTGGAAAGTCCAGTGGTGTCGATGATTCTAAAGATGAAGAAGATACAGCAGAGAGCGAAAACAAGGAAGAGAAAGAAGAAAGAAAGAAAGAAAAGGAAAAGATTGCAGATAAAGCTATATCAGATTTAGAGGTATGTTGCAGTAATTCACATATTTTGAGATATAGACTGTTGTTACTGTCTTAATGACACTTTCACTGAAATTATAGTATATGGAAGCGTTAAAGAAAAAACAGGATGTAAAGCAGGAGGAAAAGTCACTAGTAAAAGATGCATCAAAGCATGGTCTGTTAAAATTATTTACCGTGAAGGTATCTGGGCTCGGATACAAACACTTGAAAAAGGACATTAAGCAGTTCTTTCGTCCTTTAGTGCCAAAATCCATACGAATCCCGCGCAAGATCAAAGGCATAGCTTACCTGGGATTTAAAACAGAACTACAACTGAAGAAGGCTCTTTTGAAAAACAAAAGTTTCTTAAGTAAAATATGAATAATTAAATGGTGAAGTATGATGAATAATATTTTATTGTTATTGATTGTGTTTCACATTTATACAGATGGCAAGCAGATATTTGTGTCCAAGTACGAGCGAAAGGAGAAATCTAGTGAAAACACGAATAACAAGATTAACGTCAAGTGGAAGAAACAAGAAGAGTCGTTAAAGGATGAAGAGACTATAGCAGAATCCGGGAGGATATTTATTCGAAATTTGACGTACACAACCACGGAAGACGACGTGAGAAAACTGTTTGAAAAATACGGTGAGAACGTTATCGCAAAAGTCAGCAGAGGTTCAAATTTCTTGCTTGAGTACTTGCTTCTTTCGTTGCAAATTAATTCTTGCTCTCTGATCGACCTTTCCCTTCAATGAGCCAGGTCTTCTGAGTGAAGTGAACTTACCTGTGGATAAAGTCACCAGAAAGCCGAAAGGATTCGGCACGGTAACGTTTCTCATGCCGGAACATGCTATAAAAGCCTACGTTGAATTGGACGGCACTGTAATAGACGGTAGAATGCTGCATCTTCTTCCCGGAAAGGCGAAAACGTCGCTGGAAGACATCGATACAGGTGCAGTTGTCGACGCATTGTGTAATGATTTTTTGGTCTCTTGTATCAGATGAATTGGAAGGAATGACATTTTATCGATTACAGAAAATTTGACTTACAAACAAAAGAAGGAGTTGGAGATGAAGAAGACCGCGAGCTCGTCGCACAATTGGAACACACTTTTCCTCGGGCAGAACGCCGTGGTGGACGCTATCGCCAATATTTACAATACCACAAAAGAGAAGGTAAATATCCCTTCTTCGAACTTACACGGTAATACATGCCTCGTATACACGTTAAACATAATCGTGTACCCCGATTCGAAATAAAGGTGCTGGAAGACGAGTCGAGGGGAATGAGCGCTGCGGTGAAACTGGCGCTTGGAGAGACGCAAATAGCCCACGACACGAAAGCCTTCCTGGAGGAAAACGGCGTGTGTTTGGACGCTTTTAATCAAGTAAGTTTCACGTTTACATCTCGATGTTTTTATCTCCTTAGAAAAGGGAAGAAGAAATACCGACAAACTTGTCATTTACATCAATTCTGTGGGTGAATAACCAGTGAGACGTGGAACGGACTTTTCAGAACTTAATTGCAGCTTGTAGCGACATATTACTTTTAATTTTTGTAGAAAGATACAAATGTTTAACGCGTGAATCAACCTTCCACGTTAAGTGAATCCTTGAATCCCAGATATGTTAGATACAATCCATAATAAACCTACCCAACCAATTAATATAGCATTTCTTATCCTACTTGCCTATTAAGTTCTGGAAAGATTGTTTTATCTTAAAAAAAAATAAATAAATAAAATACCACTCTCGCGCCTACATTTAACGTACCCTCGACAGGCGCCGAAGGAGAGATCGCGCTCCACGATCTTGGTGAAGAATTTGCCGGCCCTAACAAAGTCGGACGACATCCGAGAGATGTTCGCCAGGCACGGGGAGCTCGGACGTGTGATACTGCCACCGTCGGGAGTGACAGGTACCGTTGTCGTCGTCGTCGTCGTTGTCGTTGTACGAACGTTGAGCTCTCAGTGTGTCTTTAACGTTTGATTTCTCGCGTTTCCAGCACTGGTCGAGTTCCTGGAGCCGTCCGAGGCGCGCAAGGCTTTCACGAAATTGGCTTACACGAAGTTCAAACATTTGCCGTTGTACCTGGAATGGGCGCCGGACAACAGCTTCACCGCGCCCGCGTCCAAGAGCAAAGCGTCTAAGAACAAAACGTCCAAAGGCAACGCGACGAGATCAAGTAACGTGGAAGGAGCTACCGAGGGAGGAGGAGCGACACGAGAGTACAAGGAAAACGCGAACAACGCAAACAAGAAAGCGGACGAGGACCACGAAGAGCCCGAGCCGGACACCACGCTTTTCGTCAAGAACATCAACTTCGCCACGAAGGTCGAGGAGCTTAAGAGTGTGAGTGATTAGAAATAGTCGCTGCAAGTCGGAGCGCGGCAGCTGTAGCCTTTGACACGCTTGACACATATTACTGATGCGTCTTTGCGCTTTCAGTATTTCGCTAAGTGCGGTCGCATCCATTATGCCACGATCGCCACGAAGAAGGACTCAAAGAACCCGGGCAGCAACTTGTCCATGGGATACGGATTTGTGCGATACAAGAGAAAGCACGACGCGGATCGCGCATTGAAGACGCTGCAGATGACAGTACTCGACGGCAAGTCGCTGGAACTGAAGCGATCTGAGAGAATATTGATGTGCGTGTGTCACCTAAGCCTCGTCTCATTAGAAAGCGGGGTGCCTCTCGATGTAACTGTGTGTGAAACTTTCCAGGTCCGATGTCAAAACGGCGAGGAGGAAATCCAAGATTACCGATCAGACCGGAAGTAAAATCTTAGTGCGAAACGTACCATTCCAGGCGACCATCGCGGAAGTCACGGAGTTATTCAAGTATGCATTCGCGTGTGTCGCACGTGATTTACGTGGTTTTTACGCGACGTACATGATATAACACGATGACGATCTTGTTGCAGGGCGTTTGGCCAGTTGAAGGCCGCGCGATTGCCGAAAAAAACGATCGGCTTCGAGAAGCACAGAGGTTTCGCCTTCATCGAGTATTACACGAAGGAAGATGCGAAAGTAAATACTCTCAGTAAATACTTTTCTATATTGATAGTCTTTATTTGAAACTTTTAACTTGAACTAGTTAAGTTTAAGGTGCATTAATTTGGACTTATTAACTTTTTTTTTATACAAGTTAAAATAATTCATCAATAATTCATCAAATATTAAAATCATTGTTCTTTGGGTTGTTTATAATATAAAATAAGAAAAATTAAAAATAACGCCAGCAAGATTCTTTCTTTTGTCTTTTTGAGCGTCAGTATTCTTTTTTTGTACGGAATTCCGAGTTTAAAACAATCGGCATTTTCTTATAATAGACGTTTTCTTTACTTACTATTAACTTCTAACTTAATTTAGTTATAAATAAAAATTAACCTGTCCAATTCTGGTTTTAAGTAACTATTAATACGGGCTTCAATGCCCACATCAATTAAATGATTGGAATGACTCTGATCATTTGATCTTTTAATCAAGTTAAACGTTTACCTAAAAAGTTAAGGGTTCACACAAAAATAAGAATCACTCGTGATTTTTCTCACACCAACTTAAGTTCTGATTTTTTTTTTTTTACAGAGAGCGTTTGACAGTCTGTGTCAGAGTACCCACTTGTACGGCCGAAGATTGGTGTTCGAGTGGGCTCAGACGGTGGAGGACATTGAGGAAATTAGAAAACGTACAGCGAAGCGTTTCCTCCAAGGTAATCAGTTTCTTGCATCTACTGCAGCTTGACGATCGTTGGCAAATCGATTTGCATCGATCGACTCGCAATAACAAGTTACGAGGCTTTCCGTCGCGTTTCAGGGAGCTCAGCGAAGAGATTCAAGAAATCCACGTTGAATGTTGAGAGCGACGTGGAGGACTCGTGAAGCGGCAGAACGCCGAGAAATTTCCTTTGCAATTCGATCACGCGTCGGAAAGTGCAGAAGCATTTTCTCGACACGTACGAGTGTCAGGGACATCATCGGACAATCATCCGACACCTCGCAATCCGAGCACGTGCCGATTTTCATTCCTTTTCGCATGGACGGCGGGATTCAAGCCACTCGATCGAAAGTCCCAGGAATTTCCACCGAGTGCGATATTGACCTTCGTGTCACGTTTGCACTTTTTCTTTCCTCACTTTTCCAAAGAACAATCCCGACGATCAACGTGACACGACACGTTCGGAGTTCGCCTCAACGAGGTCGTTCACCGTTCAACGGACCTCGCTTTTCTGAGACAATGTAACATACATGTACATAGATACAATCACGAGAGACGAAGGTGATTAACAAATATATTTGTTGCGATGGAAATTATAGCGTAAACATCAGACGCTTGCAAAAGTTCCTAAGATCACAAATACATGGATTACCTCAAACGATGAGTCATTTTATCGGGATCGAATCATCTCATTGTTACTAATAAAGAAAATATTATATACGTATCATCTCATTGTTATTAATAAAGAAAAATCTTCAATGTCGTAGGATCTTTTGCAAGCACCCGATATATGAACGCGTGATACGCAGGTGATAAGCTCGTAGTGCTTATTACCCCGCCCTGCGCGAGCAATAGCCCGGCGGCGCTGAAGACCGGCGAGAAAGACGGCTGGAAGAAATGTCTTCCTTTCACCTCCGCGGCGGCGGATTTCGCGGCCCGCGGAGGACTGGAAACGACGGTTCCGGTTGGTGGGGCCCGCGCGCTGCCGGCGTGTCCCGCGAAGGTGGCCCACGGTGGTGGAGACGACCCATGAAAGTAACAGTGCCTTCACGTCCACCACCTTCGGCTTCAGCCGCGATCCGAGCCAGTCGTGCGCTCTTCGTCCTGGAGAACGGTGCTCTTTCTTTCTCTTCGGTGCGGCTTCTATTCTCCCCTTCTTCCTCTCTTTTTTTCTCTCTCTCCCCCCCTCTTCCTCCCCCTGTCCGTCCCTCTTTCTCCCTCGCCCAGCCACCACACACCGTCGTCCTTCAGTGTCATCGTACAGCTACAAGGTCGCGAGTGCAAACTGCGAATTGCGTCCCGCCGTGGACGTGGGCCGGTGCGAGGGCCCGTCCGGGTCGCACACGACGCGCGGCTGACGCGCGATGAGTGCGAGCTGAGGAGCGGCGGCGACATCCCCCCGACAGAGGCGAGACTAAATCAGTCCGGCGGACTCGAGAAGCGATAGTCATGGATTGGGTAAGAGCAATCTCACTCTCTCGAGCCGGCGATGACTCGGGTTTATATTTTGCGCGACCCACCGGCGCATCCGCGAGAGATCCTCGCGGGTCTTCCCCTCGGAGGCCGTCGAAGTAACGTCGCCCTGAAACACGAGGAGAATTTTCACCCTGATCCCCCCCCCCCCCC